TCGATGCACCGAAAGAAAGAGCGGGCAACTACAACATGGAGGAAGACATTTTTCTATGCAATACATGGTTGCATGCGTCTATGAATGCCAATGTTGGAGGGGACTAAAGTAGAGATGCATATGGGATCCGGATGAAGGAGCACTTTGATTTACACAACCCGAGTGGAATTGACCGCACGAATAGGTCTCTTCGCTCCCGGTGGTCGACAATCAACAAAGATTGTCAAAGGTGGGCGGCGGCACTCAAGGCGGTTGACACCATCCGAGCTCCCGATGACGACGCGGCGCGCGACAATGAAGAGGAGGAGGAAGAATCGTCTTCGGATGAGGAAGAATCGGAGGAAGAGGAGGACGATGATGATGTGGCATGATTGTTGATGTGCCATTTGTTTGTGTGAACTTTTATGTATCATGAACTTGGTTAGGGGATTTTGAACTATGTCGTGCAATTGAACTATGTTATGTCTTTATTTTTCGTATTTGTTTAATGTTCGAAACATCATCATATTGTCAAAATGGACATGTAAAATCTTATTTGCAAGCGCCGACTGCTCGTGCGCGCTGTAAGTTAGCGCGCCTGGTGGAGCTGCTCGCGCGCGGCATATTTTACATTGACCGCTGGAGCCAGTGCCCTGCAACACGCAAAATTCCGCTATTTCGATGCTGTAAAAGGGTTTTTGTGCGCCCCGCCGTTGCGCGGCCGTTGATGCTCTCAAGCGAAGTGGTGGAGCCGTCTGTACGATGAAATGACTTGAATCTGTTCTGACCGGCACCGGTGGATGGATGCTATTCAGTTACAATCGGTGCCATTGCACTCTCGCACCAAAGATTTCCAATGCGGGAGGCACCACCACCGCACTGAACTTTGCTACCGCAGTGACCCGACGGGACGCGATGTGGGCCACCGGGTTAAAAGTCCCGCTAGGCTCTGTTAGTAATATAGACTAGTGTCATATGTATGACATTAGTTTAAGTTATTCTTCACTATGAATTTAACCAGGCAAATCAGACTCTTTAATATATGACACTACCTTAATAGTTCATCATCACTACCTTATTTATCTTAAAGGATTCCCACAAATCAGTTGTTAGATTTTTAACCATGGCAAATCAGACTCTTTAATGGCAAATTATATTGGCAAAAACTAGAGGATGACCGGTTTGCGTTCTCTTTTCGCCCCTGGCCTAGATGGCCGAATTTTGGCCATTTCAAATATTTCGGCAAAATCTTGGACGAAATTGCTAAAACTAAGTTTTTAATTTTTGAACAAAATTTGACCAAAATTTGGCTGAAATTTGAACAAAATTTGGAATCAAATAGAGCATAATTAAGTATAGCGGCCCAACAACCCTCAGGAGTAATCATATAATCTTTAGCAAATTTGCTTTGGGGATTAAAAAACTGCATCGGTCCAACATAACCGTCACACATTAGTTCTAAACTTGGCACCTTAATTATGGCCTCGAACCTTAATGATGGCCTCCAACATAACCTTAATAGTTCAACATCAGTTCCAAACCATCACAGGGCAGTTCAAGTTTTAAATACATCAATACAACCAATAGACTTTAAAGGATTAGCATCACATTGAAACAATGAAACTACTGTACACACGGCGATCACTCACCCGATATGTAGACGACAAGTAATCAAACGATTGTGCCGCACCTTGGCCTTGTCATGGATGGTTTGATCATCCGTGTCGTCCAACATTCGGCCAGCGACTGTTGTCTGCCTAGCAGGACTTTTGAAACAACGGCTCCAAAAGAAAACCATTAAAGCATGGACAGAGAGAAGTCTTGTTCCATTGAAAAAGCTCGAAGCTTCCAGGTTCCAACTAGCATGGCGCTCCAAGCTCCAACTAGCATTGGAACAGTTAGGTATCACTTAAAGACAAATATTGTACATGGTGCGCATAAATGCAAACTAGAGTTTCCCAACTCACCTCGTTTTAATACAATATTTATACTTCAATGCTTAGAATTGTGTCTAGTATGTGTTTACAACTTAAAGCAATATTATACAACAAGATTTCTTATCTATTTTAAAACTAAATTTTTTGGACATATTAATATCAAAGCGAACTTTCATGAAGAAAGGAAACATGCAAACAACAGTAAAGGGCTTGAGTTAGATAAGATTGCTTGAGAAAGGGTTTGCATATGTTGGATTACTAGAGATATAGATTTGAGTTTGAGAAAGCATATAAGGAGTAGTTGTTGATTTCTCCATACTATTTTACCAACTGGAGGGGAAAAAGAGGTCATCTTATTTATGTTAGTCCAACCGTGAATATGGACTTGTGATATGGGACTAGAAACTTAGCTACTTTCCTTTTTTACTTAGCCAAATGAGGCCTTAATGGTATATATAGAGTAGCAGAACAATCGACTACTTAAACAATAAAGTAATGTACAACAAGCTAGTTAAAGATCAACCGCTTAGAACATGTACAACAAGCTTTAATTAACCTATGAACTAGAAGGTCCAAATAACTAGAATTTTCTAAGTTATTATCATGAATCGTAAACACCAAACAGAAGAGACTTACGAGAAGATTTTGTTAATTATATTATTTTCTTTTCAGGGAAAGAACAGGGTAGAGGCTGTTGACGTCCTTGGTCTTCTTGACTAGCCGTCTAGATCTACGGGTCTCCAAATTGGCATCGCTTGATGGTGTCTTCTTTTCCACTTGAATTTGTGTCTCCTTTACCACTTGCATTTGCGCATCTTGCTGATCTTGCATTGAAGGATCATCTTCATCATCCTCACACACCCCATCATTATCCTCACTCTCATTATAAACATTTTCATTCTCTTCCCCATCATCCTCACTCCCAACACACGCATTCTCTTCATCATCATTCCTATTTCTTTTCTTTCTGTTATCCTTTGTATCAACATAGGAAGCTTTCCTGCTTGAGTTGAGACGCCTTATTTTCTCAAAAACAACACTAGCAGCATTGGTTCCATCCATGATTGGATCCTCTTCATCCTCATCTAACCACTCCATAATTGGATTTGTTTCATTAAACATTGTTGTATCTATTAGCAATGCACTTGGATCGATTTCTTTATCTATATCTTCTGTGATGTGTAATTTTTTTGAATGCAATGGACCGGAACCTACAGATATGGAGATCCAAGCACAATTTTGGGAGCGTCTATATCTCACTTTGTTCGAGCTAGGATGCTAACTCACGTTCAGGTCAATGGGCTGGCCCATTATCCTATCTGATTGCAAGAATTCTGTGCAGCCTACACACAGTTCGATTGTTCCCTAGAGAAGACATACAACTTGCTGTTTCTTTTACCTTTTTGTTTTTTTTCTCTTCATATATTCATATCTGAAAAAATCATACTTTACTAAAATATTCATTGTGTATTAAAAAATATATTCATCGGGGTATTACAAAATTTTCTTAGTATAGCTAGAAAATTGTTCAGAGTGCACCGAAACAATTCATTGTGTATTTAAAATGTTCATCGTGTATTTTAAAAATGTACATCATGTATTAAAAAATGTTCATTATGAATGAAAATGTTCATCATGCATTCAAAGATGTTCATCATGTATTCAAAAATGTTCATCATGTATTTCAAAAAATATTCACCGTGTAATCCAAAAATGTTCAAAAAATATACATTGTGTAATCCAAAAATGGCCATCGTGTATTAAAAAATTGTACAACAGGTGTTCATGGTGTATTGAAATATTCATTGTGTATCTAGAAAATGCTCAGTGTTTATTAAAAAATGTAACCGTGTATTTAAAAAATACTGATCATGTAATCAAAAAATTATCATTGCTTATTAAAATGTCATCGTGGATCCAGAAAATGATCAGCGTGTATTGAAAAATAAATTCATCATGTATTAAAAAGGGTTTATCCTACTTAAAAAGGTGTTCATCGTACATTAAAAATGTTCACGTATTTTTTAAATGAAATTATTTTTTATAAGAAATAAACATCAATGAAAATATGAAAAAGGAAAAATGAAAACCAATAACTGAAAATAGTAAATGGAGAATGAAATACAGACAATGAAAAGCACAAGAAAATGTTCTTGTAATTTTAGAAGTATTTACCATTTTCTATTAGTTCATGTAACTGAACAATCTCACATTTTAAAAATGTGTTAATGTATTTAGTCAAAAAAATGTTATGTGCTTTTAAAATTAGAAAAAGAAAAATGGAAAATGTAAAAGAAAGAAAACCAAGAAAAGTAGAAGAAAAAGTATAAACCCCCTAACAAACCCTTCCCTACCGCAAGAAAACTAATCCCTGAAAAAATCCAATGAAGAAAACGGTGCCAAACCCTAGCTCAGGCAAAGGGTATATCCTATTTGGCGCTTATACAGCCAAATATAGTGTATGATTTGATAAAATCTCAAAGACAAGTCTTGTGGGTAGTTTAGTCTGTTTCAAACCTTGGTATGTGTGCAAGACAAAGTATTGCGCAGTTTTTGATTGAATGGGTTCTTTTTTCTTAGTTTGCCACTAGCATTTTGGATGTTTCTGCTTATTTTACGGTGACAAATTTAATCTTTGCATCATGGTAGTGCTTGACCCTAGCTAGTCATGATAAACTCAGGTTTCAAGTTTGTTTGCACATGAGGCCTAGTGACCTAGTGTACTCTTCTCAAAAAAAAAGGGGGGCCTAGTGTACCCGAGGGGATGAACGATGCATGTGGCCGACTGGTAGTTTCTTGTCCGCTTCTCCTAAATTTGAATGATCAGTTGCTAAACCGAGGTCAAGTCTTCTAAGTTCAAGAGGAGATATTTAGAGTTTGAGCAAACAGCTCAAGTGGAGGCTTAATAAAAGTGTTTTCTACGTCGATAGGGGCCTATACAAAGTTGGTAAGACGTGCCTGTTAGCTCGATCGATATCAAAGCTCGAGGAAGACCTCAGTTAATCTGCAAAGACACAATCACACAACCACACACGTCAGTCAGTTACAATAGTGTGTCCGGCGACCTGGGGTGGTACGGTCATCATGGCAACACAGAAGCTAGCCATCTCCATGGCCATTTCGGCTGCGGTCCTGGTCGCCGCGCTCGCCCAGAACTCCCCGGAGGACTACGTCGGGCTCCACAACGCGGCGCGCAGTGCGGCCGGCGCGCGACCGGTGGCGTGGGACGACGAGATGGCGCGGGAAGCAGGGAAGCGCACTGAGCGCGGCTGTGGGCTACGTAGCCCGGACGGCGCCGGCTACGTCAACGTACCCGGCCACCACAGGTATGGCGAGAATCTCTTCCAGTTCCATGGCTCGCCGGAAAAGGCATGGAACGCGGGGGATGCTTTGGATGCGTGGACGGCGCCGGCGGCGAGGGAGTACGTTCAGGTCGTGTGGCCGGACTCCACCAAGATCGGCTGCGCACGTGCCATCTGCGACCACGGTCGCGGCGTCTTCATAAGTTGCAACTACGAGCCTGCTGGTATGTACAAATGATACGGCTTTTGCTTTTCTTCTTATTATTTATTTCTTGATTAGACACTAGCTTTTGTGTGGATGCATGTCGACGACAATCGTGCTGTTAGCCTCACTAACAAGTCGCTCGTTTGAGTTTAGTCATTTTGCGTATAATTTTAAGACATAGGCTTTTTATGTCAACTCTGTTGCAAAAGTTAAAGATAAAAAACGCCAAGTATTTGTGTTCTTTGGTTCAAAGTTCAAACACCAAATCGACATGAATAGTTTCCATTATGACTTGTGAGTCATAGTTCATGTTTTTTTCAGACGCGAGAGAGCACCGCCGGCCTCTTGCGTCGAGAGATGGACGCAACACATTTATTATAAGGAGTAGTTTTACCCGGTATCTATTTCGGTTCCCGAGCTTATCTGATCTCGGTGAACAATAAAACCAAAAAAAATAAAAAATATGTCTTTTCTATGAAAGATATTTTAGTGCATGAGGTCCGTGCCAAATTTCAGTGCATTTGTACATCTGAACAATTCTCAGCAAAAAAAAAAAACGGTCCCGAGTAGTGCACGAACGATAACTTTTCTCACAAACCCCAATTTTTTTGCTGAGAGCTACTCAGATGTCGAAATGAGCTAAAATTTGGCACAGACCCCAATGCACTAAAACATCTTCCATACAACCCCCACCCCGGATATTTTTGAATTTTTCTAGTATTTCTTTTGATTTTCTATTCATGCATAGGAGCGGATGAGCTTGGGAGCCATTTAGCCGCTCTCTTGGAGTTCCTACATTGTATCAAGTCCTCAAAAAGACCACACCAGTATGAATTAAAATGGCATAACTCATGCATGACATACCCCACTAGTAACATTGTCCTTATCAGTTGAATATAGCTCATGGTAGCATCTCCAAGTTGATCCACCCAGAAACTGAAGTATCCCGCGTCTCCACATGCTAGTCGTAAACATTTCTTAGAAAGTTCAAGGAAGCAAATATAAAATAAATATTGTGAATCCAAGTCAAAAAAAATCGAAATGGAAATTTTCACATGATTGATTGCAAGTTTTTCTTTTTCTTCTTTTGTGTGCTGGCAAAGTGGCAATTGTCCTAACCAATTCCTTGGCTCTACTTTTGGTACAGTGAATGAGAACTTCGGAAGGGCGGCACTTCCTTACATGTGTAGGTTCAACATTAGTCGTTGCTTCAATTGTACCATATGCTAGACATTGTTGAATGCGTATTTGATCACTACTAGCCAATGTACCTTGAGACCCAGAATTTTCTTGTGGTGGCCTAGTTTCACCATCAACCCTCTCACAGAGATTTGTGCTGCAAGAATGGCTAAAGATTTGTCGCTTCAGTTCATGCAAAAAGTTACAGTCGCTGATATTAAATGGTTTGGTATTTTAAGTTAAGTTCAGGCTCAAGTGTTATGAAAAAATTGCTTTAAGATGCGCAATACTCCCTCAGTTCCAAAATATAAGGTGCGTTAGTTTTTTCAAAAGTCAAATATGTGCATGTTTGATCAAGCTTTTAGAAAAGAATATCAATATCTATAATACAAAAAATTTATCACTAGATCGATCTTGAAAAGTTTTTCCATATTTATTTATTTTGTATTGTAGATGTTGATATTTTATTTTATAATCTTGATCAAACATACACAAGTTTGACTTGCACAGAAACGGAGGGAGTACTAATTTAAGGTGGTTGCTTGGATCGGTTGATGTACTTCTTCCTCTCCGGAAAGAAGCAAAACGGCCAAGATTCTAACCAGGATCATTTTTAGTTTGGCAAACGAACTAGAATCTAATAAGAATCTAACCAGGCATGCCCTAGAATGTATATATATCGAATATACATCTCCACACTTTAGTAAAATCTCGAATGGTCCTAGAAAATATCAATTAACATGATTCGTAAGGCCCTATTCGGTAAAGCCCTACTCCGGAAGACAATAAAGTTTCATCATTGTATAGCTTTCCATGGTAACTGTACTTAGCCCGAGGTTTGCGTTTTTTGCATGGATAGCTAGCTTTACTGAGACATGAAACTCCGTAACATATTGTGGCGACAAAACAAAATTTAAGTTGGTGAGCAACCATGTTGAGTTAAGTGCCATTCTATGACACTAAACAGATTATTTATGACAAAAGTGATTTGTCGTAGAGAACAATTTAAACTGACAATTTGAAGAATAAACCTACATCTAATGAAAGCATTTTAATTAGAAGAAATATATCTATCACCCAAGGAGAAATCTTATTAGTCATGGTTTTAGTGATGATCTTAAAACAATAGTTCCAGAAGCTAATTGTTTGAATTTTTTGTTGCTTTGGCACCATTTCCTTAATATAAGAGTAATAGTAGAGATAATTAATCTGGACGCATCTAAAGAACCATTTTCAAAGTCTGTAACTATGGCCATGAAATCTAGCATTTTTTGTCATACAAAGGGGCTTGGGGGAGAGAATTATCATAAAACAAGGTTATCAAGGGAACATAAAAGATTTAGTAAGGTGAATATTAGGTATAGTTTCAAAGCCAAATGTGGTTTTGTTGTATTCAGAGCAACTTTCAGCATGTGAAAAATAGAGTAAATAGAGCCATTACTGATTTCTAACACAAACACGATATTGTTTTTTTCCTTATGTCTTCGAATAGCTACAACTTTGAAATAGCTAGTGTTCCTATCCCCTCTTTAATTTCCCCATCATTTTGTTTTCCAGAAAGACCACTACCCTCTGACTCAGAGATCAAAAAATTCACCCCACCGACTTCGATAAAATAAAGACATTGGTGTTACTCCATGTATTATCGATTTTGCGAAAGCGGTTTTTTACGTTCGTGTTCCGTATGCAGCGGGAATCGCAGCCACTCATCGGGAATGCAGTCCAGTCAGTTGGGCCAGCCATGCAACCACCATATTTATTATTATTTTACCGCATGTGGGGCCCTGGGTTATAGATTAATTTCTTGCTAGGAATGCCCTCCGTCCTTTTCGCTCCATGCTCGTGTTTAGGTGGCAAGCAAACCCATGCTTTTTCTAGCATCCATAATTAACGTTGCTAATTACGATGGGATTATTACATGTTAACAAACGAAACCATTAATTATGTAGTAAAAGCGCTAAAAAATCATGCGTGTGCAATCTATATGAAGGTCTTGTTGGGACTTTATCACAAGTATAAATTTCTTAAGAACTCTATGAAACATGTGTCTGAACTTTGCTATGAAAAACAGAAGGACTTTTGAAAAATCAGTAAAAACCCAAAGTTCTTTGAGGTTTGATGATAAAGTCCCAAGAAAGTGTTCATAAAGTTCTCTAACTAATTTCCAAAGTTACGAGGTGCCGGAGTTTTTCAAAACTTCTATTTTTCATGGCAAAGTTCAGATATTAATTTAACAAAGTTTGGTTCACTTTGAAACTATTTAAAGAACTTCTTTCAGAACAATTTAAACGACAAGATATTTGGTTCACGTTTGTATTACTTCTTGCAACATAGGCTAGAGAGATAATCACAAGATTTTTTGACTGAGGGGTGGGGGGGGGGAATCAGAGGAGTTAATTCTATAGCCGAAGAGAGATAAAGCAAATAGCTACCGCTCCACCTACTACCTGGCATGACTACCCTAGGTCCTAGCGGGCCCTTGTCAGCTTTCTCACATGCATCATGGGCAGGTTGGGATGGTGGAGATATGGGTTGTGAATGGAATGCAAAGGTAAACGCCTTTTTCATGATTTTGCCACCTTTTTGTTATATGGCAATGACTTCTGACAAGCCTAAAGAGGAATTTCGCATTTCTTATGCTAGCCCTGGCTTTTTTATAAGATGATGACTTCTGACAAGCTTGGAGGTTTTGCCCGGAAGACTACATATATCAAATTAGTTCAAAGCAAGAGCAAACTCCAACCTAGTCTTTAATATGCGTTGTGCGGTCGTACGTGTGTGGTGGTGTGAGTATTCGTGTGTATGGATATTATAATTGGTGTTTAGAAAGAAAACATAGTGATAAAAACGCTTGCCCGTTCTCCTTGTCAAGAAAAGAATTTTGAATTTCATATGTTAGCGCTGGTTCGAGTTCGCTTCTTTAATAAATACTACTCCCTTCGTCCCAAATTAGTTGTCTTGGCAAATAATTTGAGAGAGGTAATATGAAATTAGTACTTCACAATCACAATAACAACACATAGCGCGCTTGCCCATTTTCCTGCCCGCTGGAAGCGCCAGGGCTGTTTAATAACTCCACATAACAGTGGCCCTCTCCTGCTAGCTTCCCACTCCCATTTCATGAGAGAGGCGATAGTTGGGCGACGGTTTATTCCTTGTGATCTCCGGCGAGTCGACGACGTCCGCCCTCCTCTGTCCACTACTCCGGCGGCTGGAGGAGGGGGTGGGCTCCCGGTGCCGTCCCTGGTAGTTCATACATTAGGGGTAGGTCTTCGTGTGGAGGTGTTGTTGTGGTGAGGGCATCGCCATTTCGAATAATGTTTCCTCAGATTATCCTTCACCACAAAGATGCTCCCCACGGCGGCGTTAAGGATCAGATGGTCTCGTGTGCCCCTCGTTCATTGGGAGTGTCGAGCTTTGTCTGCCTGTTCGTGTTGGGTTGCTGCTGCTTTCAACGCCTACAGCAGGAAGTTGTTCATGTTCTTGGAGCAAGTATGGAGTGAAGGAAATATGCCCTAGAGGCAATAATAAACTTGTTATTTATATTTACTTATATCATGATAAATGTTTATTATTCATGCTAGAATTGTATTAACCGAAAACTTAGTACATGTGTGAATACATAGACAAACAGAGAGTCCCTAGTGTGCCTCTACTTGACTAGCTCATTAATCAAAGATGGTTAAGTTTCCTAGCCATGAACATGTGTTGTCATTTGATGAACAAGATCACATCATTAGAGAATGATGTGATGGACAAGACCCATCCGTTAGCTTAGCATGTTGATTGTTCAGTTTTATTGCTATTGCTTTCTTCATGTCAAATACATATTCCTTGAACTATGAGATTATGCAACTCCCGGATACCGGACGAATTCCTTGTGTGCTATCGAACGTCACAACGTAACTAGGTGATTATAAAGATGCTCTACAGGTATCTCCGAAGGTGTTTGTTGGATTGGCATAGATCGAGATTACGATTTGTCACTCCGAGTATCGGAGACGTATCTCTAGGCCCTCTCGGTAATACACATCATAAGCTTGCAAGCAAATGACTAAGGAGTTAGTCATGAGGTGATGTATTACGGAACAAGTAAAGAGACTTGCCTGTAACGAGATTGAACTAGGTATGAGGATACCGATGATCGAATCTCGGGCAAGTAACATACCGATGACAAAGGGAATAATGTATGTTGTCATAAGGTTCGACCGATAAAGATCTTCGTAGAATATGTAGGAACCAATATGGGCATCCAGGTTTCGCTGTTGGTTATTGACCAGCGAGGTGTCTCGATCATGTCTACATAGTTCTCGAACCCGTAGGGTCCGCACGCTTAAACGTTCGTTGACGATATAGTATTATATGAGTTATGTATGTTGGTGACCGAATGTTGTTCGGAGTCCCGGATGAGTTCACGAACATGACGAGGAGCTCCGGAATGGTCTAGAGGTAAAGATTGATATATAGGATGATATGGTTCGGCCAAGGGGTGAAGCCCACATGGCTTTTGAGTCGGTGCAAAAGGAGTTTTGCGGAGGCCAGGGGGCCAAACGCCGAGACCCTGGCGTCTGGCCCTGGGAGTCCGAGAAGGACTCTTCCTTGCGGGCAAAACCGACTTTGAGGAGACTTTTACTCCAAGTTTCGACCCCAGGGCTCAACATATAAATAGAGGGGCAGGGCTAGCACCTGGAACACATCAAGAATCACCAAGCCGTGTGCCGGCAACCCCGTCCCCTCTAGTTTATCATCCGCCATAGTTTCCGTAGTGCTTGGCAAAGCCCTGCGGAGATTGTTCTTCACCAACACCGTCACCATGCCGTCGTGCTGCCGGAACTCATCTACTACTTCGCCCGTCTTGCTGGATCAAGAAGGTGAGGACGTCATCGAGCTAAACGTGTGCTGAACGCGGAGGTGCCTTACATTCGGTACTTTATCGAGACGAATCGTGAAGGTGTATTACTACATCAACCGTGTTGATAAACGCTTCCGCTTAACGGTCTACGAGGGTATGTAGACACACTCTCCCCTCTCATTGTTATGCATCTCCTAGA